CAAAAGTACAGAGGACCTTTGGATATTTCAATCCTCGGTACTTCCAATCAAGCCAGTTTACAGAGAAAAGTGATGTTTATTAGCTTTGGAGTAGTTCTCGTTGAGCTCTTAACAGGGAAAAAACCAATCTCATCAACCACATCTGAAGAATGGCAAAGTTTAGCAACATATTTCACATCAACAATGAAGGAGAATAGTCTGTTTGATATTATTGATGCTTGAGTTATGAAAGAGGGTGGGAAAGAAGAGATCATGCAATTTGCTAATCTTGCAAAAAGATGCTTGAACTTGAATGGGAGAAGAAGGCCTACAATGAAAGAAGTTGAAATGGGGTTGGAAGCGATTAAAATGTCACATGGACCATCGACTATTCAACAAAACTATGAAGAGGTTGAATTTGCGGAAGCTGAAGGGGTCTTGGGCTTCTTCAACTTCAACAAGAGCTTATCTGGATAGTAGGCATAAAGATTAAAGGCCAAAGGCACACCAAGGCGCTAGAGGTCCTTTGGAGCCTAGGGGCACGACGAGGCTCGCGCCTGAGTGAAGTGAGGCGCACAATTGAAAATTTAAACTACCATAATAACATTCATATCTCATAAGTCATATCAATATTTTAAAAATTAATATCAAATATAAAAAAGTAAATCCATTAACTATACAAGTATCCAACAACCATAAAATAGAGTACAAATTTGTTTTCTTGAAAGGCAAAGCAAAATGTGTTTTTTGAATGGCAAAACAAAGCACAAAAAGAAATAAATATGTTAACAAAAAAAAAAAAAAAAAAAAAATTGTTAAAAAAAAAAAAAGACAGAGAGATGAGAGAACTAGATGAAGAAAGAGATGTAAACAAAAATAAGAAGAAAGGAGAGATCTAGAGGAGAAGGAAAAAATAAATAAATAAAAATAAATAAAAATAAAAATAAAAAAGAAGAAAGAAAGAACTGACGTGGCTTCGTCGTTCATTTCTGCAACTAGGGCTTCATCTTCGTCTCACAATCTCATTCTATCGTTGTTCGGTTAACACTTGGACTCTTGGCCTTTCTTATTTTTTTATTCTTTTGAACAAAAGTTCCTTATATAGTATGATTGAGTTTTCCTTTTTTGCTTATTAAGTTGCCAAAAGTACCCTTTTTGGCTTAAGAAATAGAACAATCGTATTTTTTTAAACAAATATCGATGAGGTGCGCCAAACAGGACGAGGCGCAACCGAGGCGCGCGCCTAGTAAACATCAGTGAGCCTGGGATGACAACAGGCGCAAAACCTGAACCTCGAGCCTCACGCCTAGGCGCGCCTTTAACAACACTGATAGTAGGGTTTCATCACCGTTAGATGTCCAATATCCGTTGTCCATGTAAAAATGATGCTTATTACTTGTTCTTGTTTAAACAATAATGTATAATCACTGAAATATTTTTCTACTTTGGGTGCTTAATAAATCATGATTAGCAAGATAAATTTTATTGTGCTCTACATTATATTCCATCTTGTGTAAGCTAATTATGATGAGAAATACTCTTAACATATGTTTCTTTGAAGTGTTTATGGATATCATTTTGAATCTAAACTTGAATTCTATAGAATGCTTTTTTTATTGGTCGAGTACAATACATCTGTTCTCCTATTTTATGATGCTCCAGTTGAGTTATTCTTATTCTGAATAAGAATTGAATTAATCTCTTTCTCGGGTCCCTATAAACTGCTTCAGTATCAACCACCCAAAGGAGATGGTCCAAACACATGCTCCATTTGGTCATATCTAATAAAAAAATATTATAATTATTAAGAACTCATAGGGATCTTTGCCCTCAAATCAGGCAAATAAAGAAGGGAATCCCTTTGAGTTCTTACGCTTTCATGGATCAAATGATTATTAAGCTGCTCCCTAAGCTCTTATATACCATAAAGAGATACTGATACAAAAGAATCGGCTCAAAATCAACATCTATCTCAATAAAAACTCTCTTCTACAACTTTCTGGTAGCGTATTAGTCTCCATCAACTCCATGCTATGAAGATTGGACACACATATGGGGCGCAAACACGGAGACACCGACACGACAAATTCTAAAAAAGTGAGACACGGACATAGACATGGCTAATATAAATATAAAATTTTATTTGTGTATATAGATCGCGATCTATTGATTATGACAATATAGAACTTTAATTAATTAATAATTCCTATACTAAAGTCACATAAGTTAGATCGAAGATGAAGCTATTTGACTATAAAAATAAATAAATTATATTATATATTATATTACTTTCCTATCAAGTCATTATAGTTATGTTTTTGTTTATTACATGATATGACACATGTTTAGTGATTTTTAAAGAATAAGAAGTTGGACACTTTCACGTATGTTCATAATGTTGTTTCTAAGACTATCATGGGTTTGTTTCATATAAGACAAAGAATGTAGGATGTGTTGGTCAAGTGTCCGAAATGTGTTGACCAAGTGTTTGAGATGTATCTGCCAAGTGTCCAAAATTAATAAAAATCATTTTAAAATTACGGACACGGCTACAAGGCATCGGACACGTGTCCATGAAGTGTTGGTGTTCGACATGGACATGGCACCCTCGTAGATTCACAGCCATGGATTGTGACAACGGAGTATTATGAGTTTGTTTTATATAAGGCAAAGAGTGTAGGATGTGATGGTCAAGTGTCCGGAATGTGTTGACTAAGTGTCTGACATGTGTTGGCCGAGTGTACAAGTTGTGTTAGCCAAGTGTCCAAAATTAATAAAAATCATTTTTAAATTATGGGCACGGCCAAAAAGTGTCAGACACGTCTCCATGAAGTGTTGGTGTTCGACATGGACGTGTCTATGAAGTGTTGTTGCAATGAAGTTGGAAGCATTGGAATGTCACAAGGAGCATCTGCTATTCAACAAAACTATGAAAAGGCTGGATTTGTGGTAGTTGAATTCATTGGGTCTTGGGATGCTGGTTAAACTTCTACAGGATCTTATCTCGATAGTAGTGTATCATCATCGCCAAATGTCCAATAACTGTTGTCAAAGTAAACATGATGGTGAAGGTTTTGTTTTTCCATATACTATATGTTCTTGTTTGAATAATAGTGTATAATCAATGAAAGGTACTCCTACTTCTAATGTTTAAGAAATTATTATCAGCGTGAAATTTTTATTGTCCTCTATATTGTTTTTCATCTTGTGTAAACTAATCATGATGAGAAATACTCTTAACATCTGTTTCTTTGAAGTGTTTATGGATATTATTTTGTATTTATACTTGAATTCTACACAATGCTTTTTGTATTCATAGAGTAAGAATTTAATGCTTCTATTGTTTTATGGTACTCCAGTTGTGTTATGCCCATTCTGAATAAGAAATTAATGCTTCTATTGTTTAATGGTGCTTCAGTTGAGTTGTGGCCATTCTGAATAAGAATTGATACATTCTCTTATTCGGGATCCATATAGACCAATACAGTCGAAAATATCCAGATGTACCAAATTCTACTGCCCAAAGGAGATGGTCCAAAGACATGCTCCATTTGGCCTTATCTAAGAAATATATATATAGTGATTATTAAGAACTCAATGGTATCTTCTCCCTCAAGTCCGATAAACTAAGAAGAAAATCCGTTTGATTTCTTACGCTTTCATTTATCTATGTTTATTTTCCTGTCAAATGTATGAAGCTGCTCCCTAAGCCCTTATATATCAGCAAGAGATAGGTGATACAAAAGAATCAGCTCAAAATCAACATCTATTTCGAAGACAAACTCTCTTCCACGACATTTTGGTAGCGTATTAGTCTCCGTGAACTCCATGTTTCATCATCAACAACCCAATAAAGGCAAAAATGGTGCTCAGAATTCACATTGAATGCGTTAGTATCTAAAAGGCTAGAACACCATTAGTTATACGAGAGAGCCGTTGACATCTAAAAGGCCAGAACACCCTCAGATGATTAGTTATACGAGAGAGCCAAAAACCAAAACACAGAAGTATGAAGAAAAAAAAAAAAAAAAAGGTTAAAAATGAAAAGAAATTAGAGCACCATTAGAAGTACTGCTGGACTCCAAATTTAGTGCAAGGATAGCAGATTGCATTTATCTTCCGATCAATTAGCCATAATCTATTGAGAATGAAAAAAATGGAGTTTGATGGAACTTAAATGACAGTTCGTATTTCAATGATGATGAGGGTAAAGGGAAACTCTTCCATGAATTTGCAAAAGAAAAGATGTTCCAAAAGTGGGGTCATATACAGATTTGGGACCGAGGGCTACCATAATAGTGAAGGGTCTTAATGGCTTCCAAGTTTATGCGCATAAAGATCTATAGGTATAGGGCACTTCATCCAAATGTGTATATATATATATATATATATATATTGAGGACATGTTTTAACTCAATTAACAAAATATGCATCGCTACAACATGGTAAAGAATGAAATTTTGGAATGATTGCAGTAAACAAGAACCAAACAATGGAGACTGACATAGTTTAGTTCCATTATTGTGAACCGTGCTGAAGATTCCCTCAAGATTAAACAAGTCAACGTTCTAAAAAATAAAAACGTGCTGAAAGGCAGAAGGTTGGACTTTCTACAAGAGCATTGTGGAAGTTCATTGTCCGAAATAGAAAAACCCTAAATTCCCATTATATAAAATATATAACTCACAGTGAATTCCATTCTGTCTTGACTCATCAATAAGTACAATTTCAGTTATAATTGGGATCTATACATGCATAAAATATCTACAACACACAACACAGCAAATACACATATACATAGAAACCAAATTTCTTGAAAATTTTGTTATCTTAATAGATGAAATAAATACCAAGAAACAGTCGTAAACATAAAATAATTAATGGATTTTCAAAGAGAGATTTAGATTGGTGTTGATTCCTACTGACCTCAAAATTCAGAAGAGTGAGTACAGTTTGATTCACTGGAACTGAACTGCTAAAGCCGAAACTGAAGGGAGAAGAGTGGGAAATAACCTATGCAAAAAAATTTGGACCAATTTCTCGATTTAAGCGTGTCATCCTTGCGCAGGTCCATGCTAAACTTCTCTATCTCAAAAAGAGTGTTCCAAATGTCCCAATTGGACACCATGTATTCTGATTTTGGTATAAATAAACTCGAAGAGAAAAAAAGGAAAAGATGGAGGAGAGAGAAGAAAAAAAAAATTAAATATTTTACGAAAAAAGGAAAAAAAAAAAAAAATTGATGGCAATAATCTTTATTCATATTTGAATAGCAACATGAATAAATTATAAGAGAAAAGAAAAAGATAAAAGAGATAAAAGAAAAAAAAAATTTAATAAATAACTATCACAACTCTTTTATAAAATATTATAAGAGAGTAGTTTTGGAATTATGTAATACTACTTACTTTCAATCATTTCTTTCCAAATCTTCTTATTTTCTCCCAATCTTTTTATTTCTCTCTCCACTAAAAATTATTCAAAAATGATTTTCACTATGGTTTCTTTACTTTTCTTTCCAAATCACTCAATTCAAAGGAAAGAAAAATCACTTAGGCTCGGATCCATAGGAGAAAAAAGAAAAAAAATAATAATATTAGTTATAAAAGAAAAAAAATGAATGATTATAATCTCTTTTCATCCTATTTGGAAAATAAATGAAATGATAGTATTTTTATTTAGATAAGATAGATCAGAGAAAAGAAAAAAAAAAAAAAAATGGATAACAACCAAATTACTATCATATCATTTTAATTAAAATGGGACATGAGTGAAAGAATAATTTCTACCTTCTAATGTCAAGGATAATTTCAGAATTATAAAATACTACTTAATTCACTATTATTTTCCTTCCAATCTTCTCATTTTTGGGAGGAGGATAAGGAAGGACGACTATCCTTCTTTATCGTTAACGAATAAGAAAAAATAAAGAAAGAAAAATAGAAGAAAATAATATATATATATATATTTTTTGTAACGTTGAAAAATATATGTTTAACATATTATATATTATATTTTGTCTGATTGAATCAAATTGATCATAATTCATATTTGATATGTATAATTACACTGTCTATATGAATTTTAATTAATACATTGTCTTGTAATATATTTGGTTCAACTTTAGCTGCCAATCTTATACGACGTAGTTCTTTTACCTAATTGCAAAGAGGAAACTTCAATGGAGCCTACTAATCATATTGTAATCTCATGTTGTTTTAGGACTTTTATGCATAATGAGTGGTTCGCATGAATGGCAAAGAAAATTGAACCATATTGTCTCGAGTGTGAAGAACCAATGAGGTAGGAAATGACCCTTCTAGTATTGAAATTGAAACGGTGAACCAGAGACAATAATTAAGAAACAATTATTTTATATCATCAATTGTTTGCTCATGTACCCCTAAAGTGAATGGTGAAAATTTGAATTCTTAAAAGAATAAAATAAGTATGTGAGTGATGCAGATGAACTATTGACCATTAAGAATTGTAATTCACAAATGATCGATCGCAAATACCTATAAATAATTCCAAAAATAAATGAATACGTGAGTTTTTTGTCAATTAAAAGATAATCACAATAATAATAATTTAAAGACAGTGTGAATAAATTTCAAAACATAACTATCATATCCAATTGTCATTATGTTCTGTGTGGATAAATTCTTTGGGCACAGATGAAAAAGAGATCATTTTTATTTATATAATAATAATAATAAGGATGGTGAGTGTTGGAGTCACTGGAAAAACAAATGGATGTGAGAGTTTTTTGCCAATTATTAAAAACAAACAAAACAAAAATAAAAAATAAATCTAAAGACACAGTGCTTGGCATGTATAAATTTCAAAACATAGCATCATATTTAATGGTAATTATATTTGGTGTTAATAAATTCTTGGGTTAATTACAATGACACTTTTTTAAGTTTGCCATAATAATAGTCATATACAAGTTAAGCTTGTTTTGAACAATGACACCCCACAATGACACCCCTTGTCAGAAATTGGATCCAAACAGCCCTTTAAAAGAGATGAAAAGTCATGATTGCCCTTCAATATTTTATTAAATTAAGATGTACTCTTAAATGGCAGTTTTGCCCTTATAACCAATAGTACACCTCACCACACTCTCTCTCTCCTCTCCACCTCATCCATCAAGACAGAAACGATGAAACCTACCATCTCTATCTATTTTCTCTATTTCATGGGTGTTGAAAAATTAAGGGAGCAAATCTTTAGCGAATTAAGGCAGAAAAATCTCCAGCAAACTCAGTCAGATTCCAAATAATTAAGGTTGATCCGTCTTCGTTCCACCAGATCATGTCATCAGTTGTACGATCCATCAACAAGCTCATACGTTTTGGGCAAAAACCACGTTCAAAGAGATCTTGGTGAATCGCCGGTCCATCACAGATCTTGATGCCTCACTGACCATTGATTCTCCACCGGCCACAGAGCCATTGCCGTTGCACTTAAACCAATTAAACACCATCAATACATATATACATAGAGTGAGGCTGTGAGCTATTGATTTGGGTTTTGAACTCGGTGAAGTATGGTGATGTATATTATTATTTTTGGAATGTATATACAAAATAATTTTTTAACAAGTTTGATAATTTTTTTTGGTTTGATATTTTATTTTATTTATTCATTATTATTATATAAATATTATATTAGGGTTACAAAAGTAATTTCATTATTTATATAGGTCAACACATAAGTCAAAGTGCAAAAATGTCATTTTATTATGTTTAAGATGTGGCAGTGATCAATTGGGGTGTCTTTGTTAACTTTATCCAAACTAAGGGGGTGTCATTGTTTAAAAAAGGTCCAACTTGTATATAGCTTTCATTACAACAAACTTCAGGAAGTGCCATTGTAATTAATCCTAAATTCTTTGTGCAGCGAGAAAGAGATAATAAAAATAATAATAATAGACTAGTGTTATTTTTATTATTATTTTATTATTTTTAGCAGTAGTGGACATCCTATGACAAGTCGTAATGACGACTCCAAGTCAAAGCTACATAAAGCAAGACGAGGCTAAAATTAAGATAGACTAGGGGTAAACAAATGACTAAACGAATTGTAAGAAGTTAAAACAAGGCGAAGAAATATAAATTTTTCCTTTCAAAAATAAATAAATAAATTACGTTATTCTAATTGGAATGTGCCACCTTTTATGTTCCCCATTTAACGAGTGTAAATAGGTTGTAAAAAAACAGAATTTGATATGAATAACGTAAACATGAAAATGTACCAATAGAACAACTGACATTAATTAAAATAAAATGTTGACTTTTAACCCTTGAAGCACATAACAAAGAAGCATTGCCAAATTAATTACTAAATTAGAGCACCATTAAAGATGGAGGAGGTTAAAGTCTGAAGGATGGGTGTGTTTAACCACAACCTCCTATAAAATTAATTAATTTATTATTATATATATATTTTTGACTTAGCAATGGTTAAAGAGTTAGTAATTAATGGGGATAGAGGAAGGGATTCGAAACTAAGAGCATAGGTGGGGGCACTTAAGGTATAACTTTTTTACCGCTGAATAACACCGCCGCACTTCAACCTCTTATAAATGTCGGACAACAATTAAATGTTTATTATCGTTGTGTTGACACACAAAAATGACAGCTTAAGTGGTAGCCACTTTAGCATCCACGTGGACAAATGAGGGGGAGACAAGTAGACCAAATTAATGGTCAAACAATAGATTGACACGTGGGCTTCATTGAAGGGAAATAAAATTCCAACACTTGTGTGGTCCGGCAGATAACAAATGTGTAATATTTCAACTGACACTTGGAAGAATGCAGAAGTTCACATGTGGCAGAATTATATAGTAACAGCGGGCTATATAATTCAGCCACAAAATGGGTATCATTAGTACTCCAAACAAGTCCTAAAAAAGAGGGATGATGGGTTACACTTAGGAGAGGCATAAATCAGATTAAAAGGATAATTTATTAGTTTCCTAAATTCAAGGATAATTGATGCTACAGTGAATTAGTATAGTTCTTACAATTGAGAGTGTTAACTAGCTACATGGAACATGTTTACAGAAAAGATAGTGGGTCAACTCAATGCTACAAACAAGGAAGTGGGTTGGATACTTGGCAATCACAGAGATAAGGATAAAAGATGAAGGCCTGTTTTGAAGGTAGTGGGCTAATAATTAGTTTGCAAGTGGAAGAAGGAACAGTTTATGGGTCTGGAAGTTGAACTTCTGCCGCTAGCAATGGGAATTCTTGGATAGATTGCTTCCTAAAATCAAGGAGGGGATTGGCCCAACAAGTTTGACACATATAAAAACTGCTATAAACTGCCTAACTCAGTTTAGAAGTTCCTATTTTTAAGGGATTTAAAACTAAAGAGTAGTTAAGGAAAGTGGTCCTAAAATCTAGGGATAATGGGATCATGGTTAGGCAAGCAATCCATTTCAAAAGGAATGAAGCAACAACAGTTGAAGGACGTGGTATATATATATATATATATATATATATATATATATATATTTAGATAAGTAGTTATAGAATAGGGGACACATGGCAGCAATGGAAGAAGTTCACAGGTTGTGGGTGTGGAAGTTCGATTTCTGCTGCTGAACATGGGATAAATGTCTTGTAAAGAAGAAATGGGCAGTTACTTAATAGGACATGGGTCCTTCTTGTAGGGCTTTACTACCTATAAATAGTTTACTTAGGACTATGTTTCAAACTCTCTCAATGACATCAATCAACATTCAATACTCTTGTATTTCAATTCATGCAATTTCAATTTCTTTACATTAATGCAATTACTTTCAGTATTGCATTTCAATTCATTAGATAGCATTGTAGTCTTAACTAAAAGTCCTTTTATCGAAGGCAAATCCAAAACCTCACAATCGTTTGATCGTTTCAAAAGGAACTTCCTTTTTCGTTTGACCTCTCTGAATCTTTTGAGATTCTAGCACGCCTGCACATTCCAAGTGTCTCAATTTTGTGGAAACATTAATTGGCATGCCCGCCGGACCCCCGATAAGATTGCAATGCCGCCAAAATCAAAGATAACTCGTCTACCTATAATTGGTGATGAAAAACTAGAAGAAAAAGTTCAGTCAGTTCAG